GTTGTTTTTAATGTGTTTTTATTGCTGTTTATAAACAAATTGTTTATTTTATTGTCTGATAAGTCTAATTTGCCGACCTTTCGTTTCAACTTTTTTATCATCGTATTGTAGTGATAAAGTTTTAAAAAAACATTAACATGAATAAGTTTTTATTATATTACAAATAGCGGAATAAATGGGGTCCACTAATAAAAACAAAAACCCAACTAATTTTAGCTATAGAATATTAAGCAGATTTTATGTAATTAAATAAATAAAAGATTAATGTGAGTTATAATCGTAAGTTTATCATTATTTAATTATAAAATATTATTGTTTTTTTTCAACCATGTTCAACAACAAAACGACCATTTAATTTAACTGTTTAAACAAGTTTTCAAAGAAGCAAATGTATCTTTCTCTATTTATTTGGTCGATTTGATGTGTCACTTTTAGTTAAGCATTGTGTCTTTCATGAAAATAAAAAATAGAAGGTTAGACATTCACAAACGATTGATGTTTTATAAACTTATTTTACATCTGAATTTAAATCAATATAAAAAACTAAGATCACTTTGATTGATGGTTATTAGTAATTGAGACAGTTTAAAATGCTTATTATAATATTATTCTTAATTTCATTTAAAAACATATTTATTCCGACGTTTTTAAGTTTATTTTTGCAACATTTTTTCGAAACATTGAACAAACAGCACAAATTATACACACATCTATTCAAAATTGACAATTATAGTGGGAAATACGAAGATCCACAAACAACACGTGAGGTATATTTTCATATATGAAACTATTGATTATTTTTTTAATAAAAATACCATATAATAAACAGTCTAGTTTTTGATTAATTACAACAACAATAAATTATTTCAAAAATTATGGGATTTTATAACAAATTAACTCATTAATTATATAAGTAGTAAAAAAATTAAACAAACCCACCAAAACAAAACTTCCTGTTGATAAAAAATAAAAACCAACAACCACATTTTACATTTGTTCCAACTTATTTATTTTTATTTTCTTTGATTACTTTTTTACACTTTTTAAAACAATACTTATCAGTGAATATGACTGTGCTTGGAATAGTGATTTCCAGAGATTAACACCCATCAAAGCAGTTGTGTCTAATTGACTTTACACGACTTGGTATTACAATAGTTTGTATTTTGATACATCGACTAAAAGCGCAAGACCCTAATGCACTGACGTTCTTGGGTATAACAACTTTTTCTAATTCAAAACTATTCAAAAAACATTGATGGGGTATTGTTTGCAATTGATGATGAAGAGCTATATTCTTTAACATGTGACACTCGCGAAAACAAGACTTTCCGATGTTGGTAACAGTGTCTGGAATATCAACTGAGACAAGACAAAAACAACAATTAAAACACAAATCATCTGTACTGTTAATTTTTCCACCAATATCACATGAAGTCAATTTGTTGCAATGATCAAATACCTTTTCGCCAATAAAACATTCACAGTCGGGTATTACAATTGATTTTAACGATAAACAATCTTGGAAACAAAAATCGCCAATCGACTTCAAATGGTCAGGAAACGAAAATCCACTTAACTTGCTACATCCATGGAAACAATATTGTGGCAATGAAGTGAGTGTTTCTGGCACACCGATTGACGTAAGACTTAAACAGTTGTCAACAAAACAATACCCAATTGTTGTAACTGTTATTGGAAGGTCAAGTACCTTCAATGCAAAACAGTTACCAAAACATTTGTTTCCTATTTCTCTCAAATTGCTTGGAAGTGTTATTACAGATAAAGATTCACAGTAGTAAAAACAGCCCTCATAGAGTGAGGTGATTATGTTAGGCAATGAAATTTTTTTAAAATTTGAACGCGAATAACATTCATATCCAAGCATTTTTATAGTACTTGGTATATCATCGCCATAAACTTTTCTGTCACCCTTTGTGTATACAACATTTTTAAATGAGATATTTGAATGTAAGTGGGTTTGAGTACAATCATAGGTCACTACAAACCAAACA